TTGCTCACCAGGGCTACTTTGAAATTTTATATGAAGGCATTTACATATGTGGTGTATATATATGTGTATATCTAAGGTGTGTATGTATGTGTATATCTAAGGTGTGTATATATGTGTGCATATATATGTGTATATCTAAGCTGTGTAGATAAGGTGTGTGTATATATGTGTGTATGTATGTGTATAAATAAGCTGTGTATGTAAGGTGTTTACATATGTAGTGTATATATGTGTGTATATATATGTGTGTATATATATGTGTGTGTGTATATAAGATGTGTATATATATGTGTGTATATAAGATGTGTATATATATGTGTGTATATATAAGCTGTGGATAGGTAGATAGATAGGTGGATAGACATATAGATAAATAGATGATAGATCCATAGATAGATAGATGAACAGACAGACAGATGGATAGACATATATACAGATAGACAGGTAGATGATAGACAGATAGATTCATAGATAGATAGATAGACAGACTGATGGACTGACAGCCAAATTATCGGTTCTCTTTCTCTGGAGCCCCCTCAGAGGCACACAGAGAGCCACAGACAAGTCAAGCTGGACTAGAGCTGTCTCAGGAAGAAATAGCAGAGTGGCATTCAGGAAGGTGGAGCCCGAGGGGACCTGGGGTCTGATAAACAGCGTGTCCCACAGCCCGTATCCGGGGGACGCTCAGCCAGCACTGCCCTGCATCACGGCCGCCCGCCTCACCTGCCACTTGGAATCAAAGGTGCTCTGGTGCTGGACCTCATAGAGGAGATTCTTGTACCACAGGTCAGGACACGTCACCGTGACTGCGTCCTGATGCCACTCAAAGCTCACGGCCTTCGGGGAGCTGGGTTTCACTGAGAAGAAGAAATAAGAGAACCATCACCCCACAGGGGGAACCCCACATCCCTCCCCTCTGAGCTGAGTTCCTCAGGCCTGTCATCCCAGCCCTTTGGGAGGCCGAGGCAGGCGGATCACAAGGTCGGGAGTTCGAGACCAGCCTGGCCAACATGGTGAAACCCCATCTCTACTAAAAATACAAAAATTAGCCACATGTGGTGGTGGGTGCCTGTCATCCCAGCTACTCTGGAGGCTGAGGCAGGAGAATCTCTTGAGCCCGGGAGGCGGAGGCTGCTGTGAGTGAAGACCCCGCAATTGCACTCCAGCCTGGGTGACAGACCGAGACAAGAAGGAAAAGCAAAGAAAGAGGCAGGGAGGGAGGCAGGGAGGGAAAGAAAGGAAGGAAGGAAGAGAGAGAAAGAAAGAAAGACAAAGAAAGAGCAAGACGGAAGGAAAGAAAAGAAAGAAAGAAAGAAAGAAGGAAAGAGGAAGGAAGGAAGGAAGGGAGGGAGGGAAGGAGGGAGGGAGGGAGGGAGGAAGGAAGGAAGGAAGGAAGGAAGGAAGGAAGGAAGGAAGGAAGAAAACCCAGTTGGTGGGATGAGGGTGAAAGAGTATTTCCTGCTCTTTCTGTGTGTCTGCGTGTGTCTGTGTGTCTGTGTGTCTATGTGTATCTGTGTCTGTGTGTGTATCTGTGTGTCTGTGTGTGTCTCTGTGTGTGTGTATACGTGTGTCTGTGTCTCTGTGTGTCTATGTATGTGTGTCTGTGTGTGTATATGTGTCTGTGTCTCTGTGTATATGTGTGTGTCTGTGTGTATGTGTGTCTCTGTGTTTGTGTGTCTGTGTGTGTATATGTGTGTCTGTGTGTGTGTCTGTGTGTATGTTTGTGTATGTGTCTGTGCGTCTGTGTATGTGTGTCTACATGTGTCTGTGTGTGTCTGTGTCTCTGTGTGTATCTGTATCTATGTGTCTGTGTCTGTGTGTATGTGTGTCTGTATGTGTGTGGCGTCTGTCTCTGTGT